ACAGAGAGTTCTGGAATGAAAACTCCAACTCAAATAAGTTAACTACAACCTAAAAAACATAGGCATTAGATAATCCCAATATACCAAAAGCCAAAAGAATAAAGTGGTGGAATTCCACACATAATTCCACCACCAACAACCATTCCAAATCAAGGAAAAATGAGCAATCAATGGTCATTAATATCCCTCAACATTAATGGCCTTAACTCACCCATAAAAAGACACAGGCTAACAAAATGGATTCAAAGACAGAACCCATCCTTCTGCTGCATACAAGAAACACTCCTCACCCTCAAAGACAGACATTTCCTGAGAGTTAAAGGTTGGGAAAAGATTTTCCTATCAAATGGACCCATAAAACAACCAGGGGTAGCAATCCTAATATTAACAAATTAGACTTTAAAATGAAATCAATCAAAAGAGATGGAAGACATTACATACTCTTTATAGGCAAAATCCACCAAGATGAAGTTTCTATCTTGAACATCTATGCCCCAAATACAAAGGCATCCACGTTTGTAAAGGAAACATTACTAAAACTAAAATCACATGTGAAGCACTACAAACATATAGTGGGAGATTCCAACACCTGACTCTCACCACTAGACAGGAATACCAGACAGAAACTCAACAAAGAAGTAAAGGGTCTAATAGAATTAATGCTATAACTGGGATTAACAGATATCTATAGAACATTTCATCCACATAAAAAAGAATATGCCTTCTACTCACCACCACATGGTACCTTCTCAAAAATAGACCACATACTGGGCAACATATCAAACCTCAGCAGCTGCAAAAAAAATGAAATAACTCCATGCATCTTATCAGACCACCCGTGCGTTAAAATTAGAATTCAACAACAACACAAATTGCAGAAACAATACAAACTCATGGAAATTGAATAATGCACAACTGTACCATTCCTGGGTCAAAGAAGAAATAAAAAAAGAAATTAAAGACTTCCTAGAATTCAATGAGAATGAAGACACAACTTACCCAAACCTATGGGACACATTGAAAGCAGTGCTACAGGGGATGTTCATAGCAATAAGTGCCCACATGAAGAAACTGGAGAATATTTATACTAGAGAATTACCAGCACAACTGAAAGCTCTAGAACACAAAGAAGCAAACTCCCCCAGGAGAAGCAGACACCAGGAAATAATCAAATTGAGGGCTGAAATCAATGAAGTAGAAACTAGGAAAACAATATAAAGACTCAATGCAAAGAAGAGTTGGTTCTTTGAGAAAATCATCAAGATAAACAAACCTTTGTCCAAACTTACCAAACAGCAGAGCATAAACATGCAAATTAACTAAATCAGAAATGAAAAGGGGAACATAACAACAGACTCTGAGGAAATTCAGAGAATCATCAGGTCATACTTGGAAAACCTGTACTCCATAAAATTCGAAAATTTAAAGGAAATGGATGACTTCCTGGATAGTTATCACTTGCCAAAAATAAATCAAGAACAGTTAAGCAGTTTAAATAGACCTATAACTCCCATGGAAATAGAAGCAGTCATCAAAAGTCTCCCATCGAACAAAAGCCCAAGTCCAAATGGCCTCAGTGCAGAATTCTACCAGAAATTCAAAGAACAGCTTACACCAATTCTTCTCAAATTATTCCATGCAATATAAGCAGAAGGGTCTTTGCCAAACTCTTTCTACGAGGCTTCAATAACATTGATCTCCAAGCCACATGAAGACACAACTAAGAAAAAGAACTTCAGACCAATATCCCTCATGAACATTGATGCAAAAATACTCAATAAAATACTGGCAAATAGAATCCAGGAACACATCAGAAAATTTATCTACTATGATCAAGTAGGTTTCATCCCAGGGATGCAGGGATGGTTCAACATATGAAAATCCATCAATGTAATCCACCATATAAACAAGCTGAAAAACAAAAATCACAAGATGTTGAAAAAGCCTTTGGCAAAATCCAACACCCCTTCATGATAAAGGTCCTGGAGAAATCTTGTATAACAGGAACATATCTGAACATAATAAAAGCAATATACAGCAAACCAACAGCCAACATCAAACTAAATGGACAGAAACTCAACATAATTCCTCTACAATTAGGAACAATACAAGGCTGTCCACTCTGACCATACATTTTCAGTATTGTACTTTAAGATTATGCAGAGCCATACGACAAAAAAAGGAGATCAAGGGGATACAAATTTGAAAGGAAGAGGTCAAACTTTCACTATTTGCAGATGATATGATAGTTTACATAAATGACCCAAAGAATTCCACTAGGGAACTCTTTCAGCTGATTAACACCTTTAGCAAAGTGGCAGGCTACAAGATCAACTCAAGAAAATCAGTAGCCCTACAATATACAGATAATAAAAGGGCTGAGAAAGAAATCAGAGAAACATCACCCTTTACAATTGCCACAAACAACATAAAATACCTTGGGGTAACGCTAACCAAGCAAGTAAAAGACCTGTATTGCAAGAACTTTGAATCTTTAAAGAAAAAAATTAAAGAAGCCCATAGAAAATGGAAATATTTCCCATGCTCTTGGATAGGTAGGATCAATGTATTAAAAATGGCAATCCTGCCAAAAGCAATCTACAGATTCAATGCAACCCCCATTAAAATCCCAGCACAATTTTTCACAGACCTTGAAAGAAAAATAATCAATTTTGTATGGAAAAACAAAAGACCCAAGATAGCCAAAACAACCCTGTTCAACAAGGAAACTTCCGGAGGCATCACCATCCCTGACTTCAAGCTCTGTTATAGAGCTACAGTCCTGAAAACAGCTTGGTATTGGCACAAAAATATACAGGTAGACCAATGGAATCAAATTGAAAAACCTGCTATTAACCCACACATTTATGAACAGCTGATCTTAGACAAAGAAGCTAAAACTATACAATGGAAAAAAAGAAAGCATCTTCAACAAATGGTGCTGGCATAACCGGATGCTGGCACGTAGAAGAATGCGGATCGATCCATGTCTTTTGCCATTTACAAAACTTAAGTTAAAATGGATCAAAGGCCTCAACATTAATCCAGTCACACTGAACCTCTTAGAAGAGAAAGTGTGTGGTACCCTTGAACAAATTGGTACAGGAGCTTCCTGAACATAACACCAGTAGCAGAGACAGTGAGATCAACAATTAATAAATGGGACCTCCTGAAACTGAGTAGCTTCTGTAAGGCAAAGGACACAGTTAGCAAGACAAAAAGGCAGCCCACAGAATGGGAAAAATATTCACTAACCCCACATCTGACAGAGGGCTGATCTCCAAAATTTACAAAGAACTCAAGAAACAAGTCTCCAAAACACCAAGGATCCAATTAAAAAGTGGTCAGCAGAACTAAATAGAGAATTTTCAATAGAGGAGTCTAAAATGGCTGAGAGGCACTTGAGAAAGTGCTCACCATCCTTAGCCATCCGGGAAGTGGAAATCAAAACAACTCTGAGATACCATCTGACTCCTGTCAGAATGGCTAAAATCACAAACACCAAGGACAATTTATGCTGGAGAGGATGTGGAGAAAGGGGAACACTCCTCCATTGCTGGTGGGAGTGCCAACTTGTTCAGCCACTTTGGATATCAGTATGGAGTTTCCTCAGAAAAATGGGAATAAACCTACCACAGGACCCAGCAACTCCACTCTTAGGCATATACCCAAAAGATGTACATTCATACAAGAACATCTGTGGTTAGCTGTGTGTGTCTGCTTCTGCTTCCATCAGCTACTGGGTGCAGGCTCTAGGATGGCATATGAGGTAGTCATCAATCTCATTATCAGAAAAGGGCATTTAATTAGCCTCTTGACTGTTGCTTAGATTATTAGTTGGGGTCATCCTTGTAGATCTCTGTACGTTTTCCTCATGCCACATTTCTCTTTGAATCTACAATGGCTCCTCTATTATAGTATCTCTCATCCTGCTCTCCTTTATTCTTCCCCTGACTCCATCTTCCTGCTCTCCCATCCTCTTCTTCCCTTCTTTCTTCTAACTCCCTCTCTCCTTTCCCCATGCTCCCAGTTAGCTCAGGAGATCTTGTCCCTTTTCCCTTCTCCAGTCCTTATAGCTGGGACACCAGCACAGGACTATTCCAGACCCCTTGAACATGGATGTCAGTTTGGAGGTCTGGTTAATCTATGGGGCCTCTAGTAGTGGATCAGTATTTATCCCTAGTATAGGAATGGACTTTGGGAGCCCATTTTACACAGAGGCATACTCTCTCAGCCAGACACATGGGGGAAGGTCTAGGCCCTACTCCAAATGATATGGCGGTCTTTGAAGGTCTCCCATGGGAGGCCTCACCCTCACTGGGTAGCAGAAATGTGATGGGATAAGTGGTTGGTGGGGGACAGGGGAGGAGGGGATTGAGAGGGAACTGGGATTGACATGTAAAACAGGCTCGTTTCTAATTAAAAATATAATCTTTGGAATAAAGAAATTTTGATATAAATAGATTGAGAAATACAAGTGGTATTAGTCTCAGGCCTCCAAATGCATGAACACACATATGTATACATACCTGTCACTTCTGATCCCATCCCCACAAACCCATACATGAACTAGAAAAATTGTTCTAAATAATCTCATGTTCTAAATAATCTCAAAGGGACATTTATTTTCACTGAACCTTCAAAATAAACATATTGACTTGATTAAGTATATTTCTGAACATGGGGTACATGAATCAGTCAGTATTTATTGTCTTAAACCAAGGAATTACACAAGTACAGGAAACAAACCAGAGTTAGTGGGGAAAATGTCAATTTATAAGTGGCTATAATAAATAAAAGAATTTAGACCTAACCAACATGTTTTTTCCTGATTTCCAAAAGTAACAAAAACAGTTTCTTAGAATTGCATGAGTAGATACTTTTTCCTAACTAGTTTTAATTCCTAAAATTTTACTTATAAAACTAAACCAATTGTTTTGAATCTAAAATCTCTAATATTTAACCCCATTAATACTTAGTAAATAGGTCCAAGGAACATCTGATGGTGAGATCTTTTTATTCAGATTTCATAATTGTTTGCCTGAAAAAAAATAGATACAAAATATTTTTCATTTCATTTTTTAAAAAATTAGAGACTTGCATACTCAATATTTTCTTAATATTTATAATATTTATAAATTTTGGTGTATATTTGCATTATAAGTTGGCTTGCATTCTTAAAGACTCCTAAAATATATCCACTTCTTTACAAAATTTTAGTATTTTCAAAAATAATTATATACACATATATGCACATATATTGAGCAAGTGCCATTAAAAAACTATTAATCTTTCTGTGTAACCACTTCCCAAGTGCAATCCATTGAAAATTCCCCTTTTATTTGTACTGTCTTGTATCATCTAATAATTAGCTGTTAACATCCTTTATTCCTTTGAGTTTTTTAGAGTATAACTTAAAAAGACTATCAAAATTATCTTTTAGCCTTGACAGTCTTAGAAAAACTAGCAATTCAGTGTTTTTCCCTCACTCTGAACAATTCAATTACCTGTGAAATGACCAAGAGGTATTAATGTACATAATATATATACATATATACATATATAATGTATGTATGTGTGTACATATATATCAGTAGCATTAACACATATATTATATATACAAAAGTAGCATTAATAAATCTCTGTGTTTATTTCATTAGTAGTTAGTTTATAATTATTCTGATGCAATGCCAATTTACTCTAAACTTTAGACATTTTATAAGAAAAATAAAAAATATATTTACTGTATATTAATATAGCAAAAGCAATTAATATATGTTAAATATACAATGATATTATATTAGTATAATATATAATATATGAGTATATTAAAATATATTAAATATTCTCTATGGTATATTAAAACATATTAAATATTCTCTATGGCTTTACATGCAATCATTTGCCTCCCTCATATTCTTTCATACCTTTCTTCTTCCACAATTCAACTTAAACTAGACACCAAAATTACCACTTCCTTATTATTTTCAGATTAGCAATCCTATATCAAACGGCCAAGAAATTGCTTCCCTTTAATATCTGGGAAATATACAGTTTTCATGGCTTACATACAACAATAATAGAAACTGACCTGTGAGTCTTGTCATTTGGAAATTTTCCTTGCAAAGCTGTTGGTATATGACCACATTCTGTTTAGCGAAAGCGGGAATGAATCTGTCGTCTCCGAAAAGAAAGGAAGAAAGCGATGCATAGCTGTATGAAGAATATTATTAAAAGCAGGAGCAGGAAAGTCCAAGAGATTATAATTATGAAAAACAGAAATTCTTGTGTTTTATAATCTATAATCGTATCCATGAGTAAAGTTGGGGCTGGATGCTAGTGCTGAAGTCACGACAAGACGAAAAAACTGCCAAATATCTCTTGACAGTCACCCTAGTCCTTCCCTTTCAAGCAACCTTGTGATAAATCTGCAAGGCTTCATGGGCTTTGCCACTTACCTCACAGACCCATTCAGCAGTGTCAATTATCATGTCATTACCATGAGGTAGAGCAGTAGCCAGAGCAACTGGTGAGGGACACAGGCAGTTTACTCTTGATCAAAACCCTCTGAGTCCCAAAGCAGAGCAGTGTAAAAGGAAGCTTTTTCTTTGAGAGAAGCTTTCCCACCAGCCAGGTTCTAGGAGCTGCATCAGTCCCAAATAAACACACAGGAGGCTATATTAATTATGAAGCTGTTGGCCTTGCCTGTTTCTTACTGGCTAGCTCTGACTTAAGTAATTACCCCATAATTGTTAATCTAAGTATTTCTCTTACCGGAGAATAGTTCCGGGCTTCCTACCCCATGGCGTTACATCTTGACACTCCGTGTTTCTCCTACGATTTTAAGAAGTTTGCAATCTGTTTTCTATAGTGGATCAACAACTATAGTGAAATATTACCAACTATGAATACATTTTCTGTTTTTTTTTTTTACATTTTAGGAAACATTTGTCATTTACAACCTTTTACATGGAAGTCATCCAAATATTGTTCATAGTCACCTACGTAGGTGTCCTTTTGTCCTACAAGGATAGACATGGTGGCTAAGCAAAAACCATTTCTAGTGCAGATTTCAGGCAGCTTTCACTTCAATGTTTACCATCAGTCATCTACCATATCAGGCAGGCAGGAGTGGCAGCAGGAGGAAACTTGTTGGGTTATAATACTGGTGAATTTAGGCCTCCTGTGTAAGGACCCTTAGTCCTAAAATTGTTATGGCTCCTGTATGGATCTAGAACATGAAAATTCTTCAGTCTTTGACTACAGATGATATAGCTACAATCTTCGAAGTATCCCATACACATCAGAAGTCCTCGGTACTTCATGGCAGTCAGTATTATGGCTTTTGTGCAGGCTCAGGAAGTCAGAATTTTTCAGCCCTTGATTATATCTAGTGTTACAGCTCATGACCTAGGTCTGAGACACTTAACTCTGAAGACTTGACAGCTCTCTAGAACTTCTTAGGATAATAACTGAAGTTTTCTTTCATTTTGTTTTCCCCAGACTGTTAGCCATATTCAGTCTCAGTCTTCAGCCCTCTCTTGTCTGCTTCTTCTGGTCTTCTTCCTATCTTAGTAGAATTCAAGCTGTTCAACTAATTCTTTAGCTGCCATTACAGCTATTTACCTTGTCCTTTTGTAGCTCAACCTGATGATAGCAGTCACTATCACTGCAACCCACTGCCATTGCTTTATTGGGAATACTGCTTCTTTCCTAATGTTACTAGCTCACCCAATACTGTTACAAATGAGTGAGAAAAGCCTTTTATTGGGATCGCTGGAACAACCTGTTTCTTTACCTCAAGAGGAATTTGTATCAATCATAAATGCCTATTTATTTTTTACTAACCATAGTTATGTACTTAACCTAACCACAGTCTTGCCCCTTAGCACCAATCATATCCATTTAAGGGTGTGTTATGGACCAACAATATCCTTGCTTCTTAACAGTAATCACAACAGTACTACTGTGTGTAGGAACACCATTCATTTGAGCAAAGAATAAATGGTTGTTTGGTTATCTGGCGTCCATCAAAGCTTGTGGAAGCAAAAATCAAGTATAAACTGTTTCAAACAGGTTATGCTATACCTTCAGGATCCAGAGCAATCAGCTATGAATATAGCGCAGCTTTCTCAAGGTTTCTTTGAAATGTTCCAAATGGCTGGTGTTGGTATAAGGAGAATTTAGCTGACTGGTCTGTTGTGCTTTACTTAAGAAAACCAGGATAGCAAGGGAGAGTCCAATAGCTGCTAATTAGAAAATCAAATTGCCCCATGACGCAAGTCTCTGCTTATTCACAGGAAAATAAAGAGCAGAAAGATTGCTTTTACTAAGGCTTAAAAAGTCATTAATATTATAGTAAACTGAATAGATTTTTAACAGTGCTTAACAACTTCCCAGTGCTCTTGGGAGAAATGGTTATATTTCTGCTTTCTTGGTGTTATATTACATGTCACTGTGATTCTGTTTTGCATTTACTTGATGACTAATTGTTCCTATTATCTTCTCAAATGCTTATTGACCACTGGTTTAATTCTCTTCAATGAAATATCTATTGAATTAAAAAGTATGTTATTTGTAAAGGGTGATGTTTCTCTGATTTCTCTTTCAGCCCTTTTATCATCTGTATATAGTAGGGCTACTGATTTTCTTGAGTTGATCTTGTAACCTGCCACTTTGCTGAAGGTGTTAATCAGCTGTAAGAGTTCCCTGGTAGAGTTCTTTGGGTCATTGATGTAAACTATCATATCATCTGCAAACAGTGAAAGTTTGACCTCTTCCTTCCCAATTTGTATCCCCTTGATCCCCCTTTGTTGTCGTATGGCAATAGCTAGAACTTCAAGTACCATGTTGAAAAGGTATGGAGAGAGTGGACAGCCTTGTTTTGTTCCTGATTTTAGAGGAATTGCGTTGAGTTTCTGTCCATTTAGTTTGATGTTGGCTGTTGGTTTGCTGTATATAGCTTTTATTATGTTTAAGTATGTCCCTGTTATCCCAGATCTCCCTTTACAATTGCCACGAACAACATAAAATACCTTGGGGTAACGCTAACCAAACAAGTGAAAGACCTGTATTGTAAGAACTTTGAATCTTTAAAGAAAGAAATTAAAGAAGCCCTCAGAAAATGGAAAGATCTCCCATGCCCTTGGATAGGTAGGATTAATGTAGTAAAAATGGCAATCCTGCCAAAAGCAATCTACAAATTCAATGCAATCCCAATTAAAATCCTAGCACAATTCTTCACAGACCTTGAAAGAACAAAAATCAATTTTGTATGGAAAAACAAAAGACCCAGGATAGCCAAAACAACCCTGTTCAACAAGGCAACATCCGGAGGCATCACCATCGCTGACCTCAAGCTCTATTATAGAGCTATAGTCCTGAAAACAGCTTGGTATTGGCACAAAAATAGACAGGTAGACCAATGGAATCGAATTGAAAATCTGGGTATTAACCCACACACGTACGAACATCTGATCTTTGACAAAGAAGCTAAAAATATACAATGGAATAAACAAAGCATCTTCAACAAATGGTGCTGGCATAATTGGAGGCTGGCATGTAGAAGAATGCAGATTGATCCATGTTTATCGCCATGCACAAAACTTAAGTCCAAATGGATCAAAGATCTCAACATAAATCCAGCCACACTGAACCTCTTAGAAGAGAAAGTGGGTGGTACCCTTGAACGAATTGGTACAGGAGACAGCTTCCTGAACATAACACCAGTAGCACAGACAGTGAGATCAACAATTAATAAATGGGACCTACTGAAACTGAGAAGCTTCTGTAAAGCAAAGGACACAGTCAGCAAGACAAAAAGGCAGCCCACAGAATGGGAAAAAATATTCACTAATCCCACATCTGACAGAGGGTTGATCTCCAAAATTTACAAAGAACTCAAGAAGCCAGTCTCCAAAACACCAAAGGACCCTATTAAAAAGTGGGCTGCAGAACTAAATAGAGAGTTTTCAATAGAAGAGTCTAAAATGGCTGAGAGGCACTTGAGAAAGTGCTCACCATCCTTAGGCATCCGGGAAATGCAAATCAAAACAACTCTGAGATACCATCTGACTCCTGTCAGAATGGCTAAAATCAAAAACACCAATGACAATTTATGCTGGAGAGGATGTGGTGAAAGGGGGACACTCCTCTATTGCTGGTGGGAGTGCCAACTGGTTCAGCCACTTTGGAAATCAGTATGGAGATTCCTCAGAAAAATGGGAATAAACCTACCACAAGACCCAGCAACTCCACTCTTAGGCATATATCCAAAAGATGCCCATTCATACAACAAAGATGTCTGTTCCACTATGTTCATAGCAGCTTTATTTGTAATTGCCAGAACTTGGAAGCAACCTAGATGTCCCTCACCTGAAGAGTGGATAGAGAAAATGTGGTACATCTACACAATGGAGTACTATTCAGCAGAAAAAAATAATGGAATCATGAGATTCGCAGGCAAATGGATGACACTAGAAGAAACCATCCTGAGTGAGGTAACCCAGTCACAAAAAGAGAAACATGGTATGTACTCTCTCATATATGGATTTTAGACATAGATCTGGGGAGTGCCAGCCTTCAATCCTATGGCCAGAGAGTCTGGGAAACAGAAACTTTATTTAGTGGCTGATCGAAGAAGAGGCAGACTCCCTTGGTTAAGTACTGAGCTGAACTCAAGAAAGCCAGTAACAGAGAGGGAGGACTGATGATCAAAGGGATTAAGACTGGGCTGGTTTAACCCCCAGAAACAGCTGACCAGACAAAGGTTAACTCTTGAATCCCAGGCAGCAGCCTGGGAAGCCAGCATGGGACTGATCAAGACCCCCTGAATGTGGGTGTCAGTGAGGAGGCCTAGGGAATCTATTGAGCCTTGGGCAGCAGATCAGTACCCATCCCAAGTATACACACGGACTTTGGACTCCCATAGAACAATGTGAGGTGCACTCTCACCCTGAACTCTTGGGGAAGGGTCTAGGCCCTGCCCTATATGAAATGACAGACTATGGACACCCCCATGGAGGGCCTCACCCTCCCTGGGGAAATGAGGGGATAACGGGGGGGGGTGAGGGCTTGGGAGGGAGGGAGGGAATGGGAGAGGGACCTGGAACTGACTTGTGAAGCAACCTTGTTTCTTATCTAAATTTAAACTGGAAAATAAAATTTAAAAAAAGTATGTTATTATCGAATATATGTACACATGCATGCCATATTTACACAGCTGTTCACCTTTAGTGAGTGTGTGTGCATGTATGTGTGAGTGAGAGACAGAAACAGAGAGTCAGAGACACAGGGAGACAGAGACAGGGTATAAGGGTGGTAGCTTTTAGGAGTCTATTTCTCCTTCCACCATGTAGGTTCCTGATAGCAAACAGGTCTAGGCTTGGCAGCAAGGGCCTTTACTCAGTGAGATA